CCCCCTCTGTCCATCCCCATCCTCTCGCTCGCCCACACCGTGGCGCGGTGCGCGTGGTGGAGCGTCGACGTCCTTCGTTGTCTCATCATTTTCGGCCATCTCTCACCTTCCTCCCGCCTGTCGACGGACGGCTCATAGATCGTTCAGAGCGGCTTCCTCTACGGGGAGGGGGGAAGCCGCGGTTGCCTCCCTCCTTCCCGCACGCACGCACGCATATTTCATCAAGAGGAGTCAGCGGCTAAGCAACGCCCCGTGCGGCGTGCGCATGCGCCGTCTCACATCGATCCGCGGGTCTACAGCGAGGCTGGCTGGCAAAGCTAATGTGTGCGTGTGCGAGAGAGAAAGAGGGAGAGAGGCCGTGCGTACGCAGTGCGAGGTTCGCACAGCGACGCCATTCTCTCGTTAGACAGCGGAGCAAGACGGCTAGCTAGCTGGCTGGTGACGGACGGACGGACACTGGAGGCGGTTGATCCGCTAGATGACGATGCCGTGTGTGTGAGTGTGTGCACGACGATCGCCGTCACCACCGCCGCTGCAACCAACGCTGTCACAGCCGCTTCTGTCGCCACACACGAGCCGCCCCGCTGCCGTCAGCCGCTAGAGAAGCAGCAGAAAGAAGAGGAGGAGGAAGAAAGGAAGACGGAGAGAGAAGGTGAGGCGAAGGGAGGGTGCGGACACTGGGGAGAGATTGCCGCTTCACGGTGAAGGAGAGAGAAGAGAATAGAACGCGATATAGAGAAGGAGATAGGCAGTGATAGAGAGAGAGAGAGAGAGAGAGAGAGAGAGAGAGAGAGAGAGAGAGCGAGAGAGAAAGAGGGAGAGAGAGAGGAAAGAGAGTGAGTGAAAGAGATAGAGAGAGAAAGACAGAAAGAGAGGGTGAGGGAGAGAGAGGGAGAGAGCGAGGAGAGAGATAGAACGAGAGAGAGAGAGAGAGGAGAGAGATAGAACGAGAGAGAGAGAGAGAATATGAGAGAACGAAAGAAAGAAAGAGAGAGAGAGAGAGAGAGAGAGAGCGAGGAACAGTACAAAGCAGACGAGCGGTCGGACGATTTGTGACACATCGCGTCATCTCGGGAGACCGGCCACTGATAAATACGCACGCACAAGCCCCGTACCCTTCCTCGTTGCACGTACGGCGAAGTCTCACAAACCAACAGCGTGGTTACGCGGAGACAAGATGATTTCGATCAGGAAACCTCGCGTAATCGTAATAGAATTATATATTATAGAATTTATAGCATCTATTATTATTCACTCCTGATATTATGTATTCTGTAATGTATTCCTTCTATTATGTATTGCTTCTGTGGTGCGTGCGTTCGCGTGTCATGCGCTTAGTATTGATGATAAGAAAATAATAATGACGTTCGTCATGTCGTTTACGGACGCAGTGTGCAACTCGAGCTATAGCGGTTTAGCAGTTTATATGCTCGTGATCGGAAACTATCGCTGGAGTGTTTACCTGTCTCGTAATTAACTCGCCACACCCATCAAGGTAGGACGCATGCAGGTGTGGATCAGATGCCAATTTTAAATTGCATCTTGGTTATGATTTTATTGTCGCTCTCGTTCGGGTGACGCAAGCAAGCGATAACAATTCGACGTTCTGCGTGAGAGAGCAATCAGTGAAATCCTACCTCAACGGATTCCTCGTCTTGAATCGATAGACAACTGGTGGTTTTTTCTTTTAAAATAATTGTATCGGTTTCGAACAACTAACTTCCTCTTCTGTCTCTACTACCTAGCCATCTCACTTCATTGACAGCGCATGCCTATCTATAGAGACACAAGCTACACCACAGCATGAAATATGCAGGCGCGAGGGTGGCAGTGCGAACGTAGTCTATTCCCTTCACGTTCAACTTGCTGTTAATCCGGCAAGGGCGGTCATAACCGTAATAAACGCCTGCACAGTGGTGGTGCTGAGAAAGCTGGGTTCTCAGCTCTTGGGTTTAAGATTGATTCCCCCCTTATACAGAAATGAACGTATCGTCCATAGAGCAAGTGTTTCTTGTCTCATATTTGTGTGCTGTGGAGGGACACGGTGATGGAGCGGTGAGTCATAACAGTAACACAACGCTATTTATGTGTGAGCATTTCCTGCTATTGTTAGAAGGATTCTCTTATTAACGTCATTACATTAACGTAAACACACACGGACACCCATGCAGATATAGAAAATATGAACATGGAAATAGAATTAGGTGTTGCCAACCTGTTGTTGTTGTTGCTGCTGCAGCTGCTGCTGTTGTTGTTGTGAATCATTCTATTTTTATATTCATAGTTCCGCCTATAATTACCACATATATATATAAATAAATAAATATATATACATTTACAGTTGTCATCAACCTGTTGTTGTTGTGTAATATGACACCTCATTTAATTTTTATATTAATAATACCACACATAATTACCCAATTATCTATATATCCAATTATGTATTACCCAGATATATATATATATATATATATATATATATATATGTGTATGTCTGCACGCGTGCTTGCGTGCGTGTGTATGTGCATGTATGCTTATATTATGTTTGTGTGTAAATGTAAGTAATGTTGTTATCAAGCCCACATTAGCCCGCTTCATGTGTCGAATGAATGCGCCACGACCATTTTATATGATACATCCGTGCTCTGCGGGGAATTGTAAAAGAGAAGAGTCATTCAGCCCCTCGCTCGCATTTAATACAGAAACCCTACACACCTCCCTATACACCTCTCTCTCTCTCTCTCTCTCTCACGCTCTCTGTCGCGCTCTCTCTCTCTCTCTCTCTCTCTCTCATCCTCTCTCTTTCTCTACTCTCTCTCCTCTCTCTCTCTCTCTCTCTCTCTTCTCTCTTTCTCTCGATTTATTCCCACCCCTTCTCTTCATCCCACCTTCACCCGCTCTCTCTCTCACCTCATTCCCTAACGCTCTCTCCCCCTCGCCTCTCTCCACACCCCCCCTCCCGCCTCTTTCCCCTTCCCGCCGCTCTCATCCCCTCCTCCCGGCTCTCTCCTACGCTCTCTCCACACCCTCCCACGCTCTCTCCCCACGCGACCTCTCTCCACACCCTCCTGCGCTTTCTCCCCACCCCTCTCTCGATCTCATCTCTCGCCTCGCCCAACACCTTTGCGCTGCGTGCGCGTCGGTTGGAACGTCGACGTCCTTGGTTGTCTATCCCATTCTCGGCCATCTCTCACCTTCCTCCGCCTTAGTGTCGACGGACAGGCTCTATAGATCGGTCAGAGCGGCTTTCCTCTACGGCGGAAGGGCGGAAGCCGCGCGTTAGCTCCCTCCTTCCCGCTACGCACGCACGCATATTTCATCCAAAAGGACTGTGCAGCGGCTAAGCAACGCCCGCTTGCGGCGTGCGCATGCGCCGTCTCACATACGCTATCCGGGCTCTACAGCGAAGGTCTGGCTGGCCAAAGCTAATGTAGTCTGCGGTCGGACAGGTAAAAGAGGAGAGAGGCCGTGCGTACGCAAGTGCGAGGCTTCGCACAGCGGACGCCATTCTGCTCGTAGACAGCGGAGCAAGACAGAACTAGGCTAGCTGGCCTGGGATACGGGACAAACATGGAGGCGCTGCAGAATATGCATCGCTAGACTGATGACGATGTCCGTAGTGTGCTGGAGTGTCTGCACGAGCGTATCGCGTCACCACTCGACCGCA